AATATAGCCTTCTTCAAATGCATATGGAATAAGCAAGCAGCTATTAGTTCAAGTGGATCAACAGCGAACATATCAGAATCAAGTATTGCAGTGACAGCATTATTTACATTATGCTTGCCATAATAACCTTAATCAAGGAATGCAAACCTAAGGAAACAGTAAGTCTTGTTCAAAGATGACTGTGGATAATGACAAATCTTAAATCTTTTAGGTTTAACAGGAAACCAAGAGTCCTATAGTAGAGTTCTTGATTTGCAGGAAGCCCCAATGCCAGTCCTAAAAGCATATTAGGTTTGATGGAATTCCCTAACATTTCCTCCAAAGATTGCAATAAAAATGTATCAGCAAGAAGTGTTTAGATAAGCAATTCAAATAGAGAAAGGGAAACCAATATTAACTTACGTTTTATGATCCTGTTCCAATGGATTCAGGAATCGATCCAATGGATCCAATTTTTCACAGTAAAAATAATGAATTCATGATTAGATAAGGTAGGAAACCAGTTGAGGAAAAAGTGCTGTTTCCAAGAAGTTACCAGAATAACAGAACAACTAAGTTGGAAGGGACCTGGAAGGTCTCTAGTCCAACCCTCTGATCAGGCAGGAAACCCTATACCATTTCAGACAAATTGTTGTCCAATCTCTTCTTAAAAACTTCCAGTGTTGGAACATTCACAATTTATGGAGTCAAGATGTTCCACTGATTAATTGTTCTGTCAGGAAATTTCTCCTTAGTTCTAGGTTGCTTCTCTCTTTGATTAGTTTCTATCATTTGCTTCTTATCATGCCTTCAGGTCCCTTGCAGAATGGCTTGAGTCCCTCTTCTTTGTGGTAACCCCTGAGATATTGGAAGACTGCTGTCATGTCACTCCAGTCCTTCTTTTCATTAAACTAGACATACCCAATTCCTGCAACCATGTCCTAATCAACTTTGTTGCTCTTCTCTGCACGTTTTAGTCTCAACATTTTTTTTGCATCGTGATGACCAAAACTGGATGTAGTATGCTACAGGTGAAACTCGAAAAATTAGAATATTGTGCAAAAGTTCATTTATTTCAGTAGTGCAACTTAAAAGGTGAATCTAATATATGAGATAGACTCATTACATGCAAAGCAAGATAGTTCAAGCTGTGATTTGTCATAATTGAGATGATTATGGCTTACAGCTCATGAAAACCCCAAATCCACAATCTCAGAAAATTAGAATATTCTAGGCTCAAAGTGTCCCACTCTAATCAGCTCATTAAGCCATAATACCTGCAAAGGGTTCCTGAGCCCTTAAATGGTCTCTCAGTCTGGTTCAGTAGGAATCACAATCATGGGAAAGACTGCTGACCTGACAGTTGTGCAGAAAGCCATCATTGACACCCTCCACAAGGAGGGAAAGCCTCAAAAGGTAATTGCAAAAGAAGTTGGATGTTCCCAAAGTGCTGTATCAAAGCACATTAATAGAAAGTTATGTAGAAGGGAAAAGTGTGGAAGAAAAAGGTGCACAAGCAGCAACCTGGAGATGATTGTCAGGAAAAGGCCATTCAAAAGTGTTGGGGACTTTCACAAGGAGTGGACTGAGGCTGGAGTTAATGCATCAAGAGCCACCACAACCCGACGGATCCTGGACATGGGCTGCAAATGTCATATTCCTCTTGTCAAGCCACTCCTGAACAACAAACGTCAGAAGCGTCTTACCTGGGCTAAAGAAAAACAGAAGTGGTCTGTTGCTCAGTGGTCCAAAGTTCTCTTTTCTGATGAGAGCAACTTTTGCATCTCATTTGGAAACCAAAGACCCAGAGTATGGAGGAACAATGGAGGCAAACACTGCAAGATGCTTGAAGTCCAGTGTGAAGTTTCCAGTCTGTGTTGATTTAGGGAGCCATGTTATCTGCTGGTGTTGGTCCACTGTGCTTCATTAAGTCCAGGGTCAACCCAATCATCTACCAGGAGATTTTGGAGCACTTCATGCTTCCTTCCGCAGACGAGCTTTATGAGGATTCTGACTTCATTTTCCAGCAGGACTTGGCACCTGCCCACACTGCCAAAAGCACCAAAACCTGATTCAATGACCGTGGGATTACTGTGCTTGATTGGCCAACAAACACACCTGACCTGAACCCCATAGAGAATCTATGGGGTATTGCCAAGAGAAAGATGAGAGACATGAGACCGAACAATGCAGAAGAGCAGAAGGCTGCTATTGAAGCATCCTGGTCTTCCATAACACCTCAGCAGTGCCACAGGCAGCTGGCTTCCATTCCACGCCGCATTGAGGCAGTAATTGCTGCAAAAGGGGCCCAAACCAAGTACTGAGTACATATGCATGCTTATACTTTTCAGAGGTCTGATATTGTTCTATGTACAATCCTTGTTTTATTGATTGCATGTAATATTCTAATTTTCTGAGATTGTGGATTTGGGGTTTTCATGAGCTGTAAGCCATAATCATCCCAATTATGACAAATCACGGCTTGAACTATCTTGCTTTGCATGTAATGAGTCTATCTCATATATTAGTTTCGCCTTTTAAGCTGCATTACTGAAATAAATGAACTTTTGCACGATATTCTAATTTTTCGAGTTTCACCTGTAAGTGTGGCCCAACCAAGGCATTATAAAGTGGTATTAACACTTCACATGAAATTGATTCTATCTGTTAATACAGCTTGGAACTGTGTTGGCTTTTTTTGGCAGCTGCAGCACACTGCTGGCTCATATTAAAGGGATTGTCCACTAGGACTCCAAGATCAGTTACTAGTGAGCCAGGTACCACCTATACTGTACCTGTACATTTGGTTTTTCTTGCCCAAATGAAGAACCCTATTTTTTTCACCATTGAATTTCATTTTGTTAGATAGCGCCCAATGTTCAAACACTTAATTGCAAATTTATATCATTTCATTTAGGTGTATCATACAACTGAATTGTTACTTTTACTGTTAGCTGTTTGCCATCATAGTAAAAATGACGTATCAATAATATGAATTGCTTGTTTTTTGTAGCAAACAGCTGAACGCCAAATGTGTTATGCTTCCCTTGATCATAGTGTCAGAAGAAAGCACAAAATGCAGCCCAAAAAGAAATATCCTACATTAGAAATGGGTGAAAATCAACTTATCGGAAAGAACTCCATGCTGTCTTGCATTTATCTCAACAGTGAACAACTCAATGCTGAAAATAAGTCGTTTGAAAATACTTCTCACGTTGATTCGTTCAGAGAGTTTGGTTTAAAACACAATGCAAATGATGTCATGTTTCAGTAACCAAATAGTTTTCTCAATTTAAACACTCACTGAGATAATCAATTGCCAAGTTAGATAAATTATTGTGTGAATAAAATTGTGCCATTGAGTTCTGTAGAGAAACAATTCATTATTATTTTTTTGAGACTTTCAATTAAATGTGCTTAGAAGAGTCTGGATCATGCAAGAAGTTATCGGGGCCATGGAGAAACTTGCTTAGTCCTTTTAGCAGGCCAGTGTGGAACTGGTTATACCCTCTACCTGCTTCAAATATGAGAAGCCAAAATACTGTTTTTACTATAAAACCGTTATATTCCATTGGAAGATTAGAATCATTAACAAAATTTTTGCTACCTTTCTGAAAAAAACGTACTCATTCAGCTCTGTTCTGGATAATTGTAACTTGCCATACGGCACATGTAATAACATCAGGAAATATTTAAGGTTAATTAGGGAATAATGTATCAGCTTTGATTCATCTAATTAACAGTTATACAGCGAGCAAATGTAATGTCGGCATGTATTTAGTTTCCTGCTAGTTAAGAACTGTTAAGAGTCAATCCCAATTATTCAATGAGCATGTAATGTCTTGAGCATCTGAATTAAATGGTCTATAAAGTAGTAAATGAGGTATAAAAATAAATCTCCAAGGAAGAATTTGAAATTTTTCATTGTATTTAACTGATTGCTATTGACTTTTACACCACTGTTTTATCATGTATTTTATAAGAAGTGATATTCCTAATTGCTGCTCAGATATACTGTACCTGTTCAGTTCAGTCCAAAACATTTTTTTGTAATAAAAACTACATGAATGCATTGGATATATCATAATATAGCAATGAAGTTTGAATTAGGCACAATTTGAAATTAGTCAGTGACCTTTAAACCTGTCTTACACTTTTTTGAATTACTAGTAATGGTCGCTTTTTGTTCATAGTGAACAAATTCAAGAGAAAATTATACAGTTGGTATAATTCTAGGAAGCAAATATTTAAATATATTTTATTTAATTTGACATGAAAATAAACAATTACCAGTAGTTCCAAAATATGTACTATGTAATGCTTCCTCTAATTGTTTAATAAATGTATTTTAACTGATCAATAAAGCAGAATATTTGTAGCTTAAGGTTGAAATGAGGGCTCCTTGATGCTCTGAGTGGTTTTAGCAGATGTTTCATTACCCTGACTAGGTAACATCATCAGCCTTAGAAGTACCTTATCCTGATATATAGATTCCCCATTTCACCTGGCCTGTTCAAGCAAAAAAAAAAAAAAGATTGAAATGATTTTCCTTCACATGGCAGCCTTATAGAATTGAGCCTTTCTTGCTGGTCCCATCCCTGCTGATTGAAAACACCCAAAGGTAGGGAACAATTTATTTACTGTTCCACTACCACCCCAAGATAACACTATCTATTGCATTTTATTTTTAATTTATGGTTTTTAAGCCAAGCCTTCCATGTTCCATCTTGGGTAGCCTTGAAAATTGTTAAGCAAATAAGGAAAGACTTACTCTAGGTGAACAGTTTTATATATTCCAGTAGTAGGTTTAAAATAAACTCAGACAAAATACAAACATATTAAAATGTTTATTAGATGAAGATATATATGTCAAATATTAGGTATATTTAAAATAAAATCAAAACAAAAAAGTATATTTTCAAATATACTCTTTATCAACAAAACAAAGATTTTTCTTTAAAAAATCCACAAGCTTATTGAATAGTAAGTTAAAAGCACTTTATAAAAACACAATTATTGATTATGTCTCAATTCCCAATAACCTCTTTCTAGAGGTGCAGATCAAACAAATTAAGGGCTGCAAAAGATGTTTCTTATAGCCACTTAAGCTAAATAAACTACTAAGAAGGAAAAAACCAATTAGCTGAACTGCTGAATTTTAGAAACATAGTCTCCATTATCTCTATAATTTTCCAATGACAGAATTGCATAGATTTGGATGCTGAACTATATCAGTAGTTTTTAATCTCTCCATTTTCACTGCAGTCTTTTAAGTCTACTACCCTCTGCTAGAACTGATAAGTTAAAGAACTGGTAAAAAATATTTTCCCACTTTAGTTCAGGAATATTCCACTGAATATATATTCTGTCTAGAAATTACTGGATTAAAATATGTTTGGTTAAAAAACATCATTTTCCTCTCCAAACCCTTCCAGAAATGTTTCCTCGTAATCCTTCTGTATGTGTTCTCTTCTTCTGATTCTCCCATCACTATAGCTCAGCTTTCTGGAAACTCTAGCAAAGAAACAAAATTTAATACAGACTGATAAGTACCAAATACAAATACAAAGCAGCAAAAGAGCTCCCCGCACAGGTATATTGATCATATCCTTTTTAACTGAAAAGAAAATCCACCTCTGTACTTCTATGCATAAACAATAAACTAATGACCCTCTGATGCATTTCAAAGAAATTCATACACGACATATCACATAAGCAATATAAAGCCCACCAAAGCATATTATGCCACTGATCTTGATGCTGTATTTCATAAGATAATAATTAGAACTCCAGAATATTTTAACATGTACCACAAAGCAAAATAATCTTAAGCTTAGGTCACTTGTGACATAAACAATGACAAAATTGTCATTTGTGGTGTGAATAATGCATGATGTACAAGAAACTCATCACTGGTTTCTTTCTGTTAGTGAAATGTAGTGATCAACCAATATGACTTAGCACTGACAGTGGAATTTATGATATCGGCTAGTATCCATCACTCTTATATGATTCAAATTTTCATATGAAAGTGTTTTTTGGGGAAATATGCACAAATACATGACTGCGAATATTAAAGTATATGTTATGAAGTTTTGTACATCAACATGTGCAGGTTGGTGGTTTTTTTTGTTTTTGTTTTGTTTTTCTGTAAGCTAAAATAATTCATCTATTCACTTCCCTTTATTTGCTTGAATTCTAAAAGAAATTAATGTCCAACTCTAATTGTAGATGATCTCTGGCTATCAATGTCTGTCTCTTCTCACTACGGTATGCCCATAATTTATCATTTTTGATACAGCAATGCTAATCATCTCAATATATTGATGAAGGAATAATTAATCATCTCAGTGCACAGTAGTTAAATAAATTCAGTGACACAGAGCAACATACAGAGATAATGTTGCTTTGACTGGACCTTGTTTTTATTTATCTGTGATCATTCATAATTCCCGCCTCCCCTGAACTGCCTACCCTCAGATTATTATGTAGAAAGGAATATACTGTAGAAGAGAGCACAGATGATCTTCTGTACTGTATCTTATGTCTTAGTGCACGAAGCTGTTTTGTAATCCCACAAAACATGCCTCAGATTACCATGAGCAAATTTAAGCCTCAAGGCCACATGAAACTCCTTTGGGAGTTCTGGGACCACTTTCAACCACTCCATTTTTCCAGTGTTGTGAGGTAGTTACAAAATGATAATGCAATTGTACAGTAAAGCTCTTCATAGTTTAAAAACAAGGAAAACACTCAGATCTACCAATTTTATATAGATATCTCTCCTGCTCACTAGGGCCTTTGATTCCCTGGACCAATTTTTTAAATATGAATCTTGGCAATAGAAAGATTATCAATCTTGCCTTAATGTTAGCTAATAGAGATACCTGAGCATTTTGTCTCTTCTTTTCTACGCATTCACAAAAAAATATAAGAAAGAAATTGTTATCACTTAAGGTGGGATAGACAGCAATAAAAATTTGATAAATAAATGAAATACTGAAAGGGAATTCAAATATTGCTTACTTTGGTATATAATTCTGTGACTTTCTTGAAAACTCATGTCCCCGCAAACACCTGGGAATATTTTCATTCATATCTGAAATCCCGGATTCTTTGAACATGTTATATATGGATTAAAAGTGTATGTTTAAATATTTTGGTTACAAATTATTTCAAAAAGAATAAAAAAACATAACAAAGATACAAAAAGTAAAGTACTGTCCCTTTAGCAGGTTGAATATTATTCTTACTGTAAATTTCTTATAAACCAAATTGAAACTAACTTCAAATGTACTTTGAGATGGGCAATTCAGAAATGGGAAGAATAGTAAAAATAGTAAAAAAAATTAGTTCCATTCATATTTTTAAACAAATCAACCTAATTCATATTTTCCAGATTATGTAATACACATACAGTTGCCTTTACTTTCTGACACTCTTTTCCAACTATAACATGGTAATTCAAAACTCAAAAATTGTATACATTAATTTCATATTATTGAAAATGGGAAAAACAAAAGCAAATGCAGACTGATTTGTCAGTCAATGGACACATGAAGTTAAAAATAGATTCAAAATCTTCAACACAATGATCTAATATTAGGAAAAAATGTTCCTAATTTGGAATATTAGGAATTAGTCATATTAGGAAATAGGTTCAGACAAAAAGAAACAATGTTGGTATGTCATTAAAAAAACCTGAAATTATTTGTGCTATTCTGACAGCATTTGTTGACCTTGCCTATTGTTTGTTGCCTATACTATTTTTATATAGTATACAGGATTAAAAATCTAGTTGATCTAATATTTGAATATTTCTGGGAATAAACAATTAGCTGCCTAACTTGACCAAAGAACAATACATTGCTATATAGTTTGCATTTAATCTTTTAAACCAACCTTCCATATCAGCAACTGAAGTAGCCAGAAATCCATGACCTGAAGCAACAGAACCTCCGTAATTCTGAAAATTAAAAAGTTTAAGACTTTTAACTAACATCATCAACCTGGATTGCTAATGTCCCAAAATAAAATGTTATTTAGCCACAAGCTTCTACCATACTTTTTTCCATTCTGCATCACTTTAGTTTCCAAGTATCATGCTATTTTTGCAGAAGACTTGGATCAAACGTTACGTTACCTTTCATCTGTCATACATGTTTAATCTGTTGCTTGGATGCAAAGTTTTAAAAGAAAAAAAATACTAGCATCCAAATATTAATATTCTTCCTTAATCTAATTTCATGTATTAGAAAAGAACACCGGTAAGGAGAACCACACAGTGCCGTAACAACTAGTAAGATTCTTAGTCTAAGAGATTAGTTAAAAATATTTGTGCTAAATTCAATGAGATTTATACGTAGGTACATATAGGACTTTGCCCTGAAAGGTAAGTTCATGTATTTTAGAAATGTTGTCTATAAATAAAATACTTTTAAAGGATTTGGTACTTTAAAACAGTTTTGAGGTTTGAAGGCACTGTAGATTATATTTCACTTACCGTATTTGATGCCGAACTATTTTTAACAGGTGAATGCAATATGAAAGTTGTATCACTTATGTTTTTCCTGCAAGGTAATTTCTGATATATTCTGTTAGAATGATCAGATTTATTTTTTAACCTTTTTAAAGGTAAATACTGAAAATCTTCATTGCAAAAATGTGCCGCTCTTTTAATTCTGGCAACAGCAGGCAGAATTCTTATTGGAGAATTAACAAGGGCATTTACAGTTTCAGATATCTGCACTCCTTCGTATTTTTTTAAGTTTGCTGCTCTTAGAAATGTTGGAAATTTGGGAAAGCCTTCAGAACATAATTTCTGGTACATATCTTCAATTGTACTGTTTGTTTTTTTATGGAAATTTGAGGACAGATTACCTAAACCAGAAGTGTGAACATCTGCAGAGTTTCTAAGGCTTGTGTACATATTTGAACACTTAAATGGCTTCTGCAACTTTGGAGAACACAATTCCTTATATATTTTTTCAAATGCATCTTCATATTTCTGTTTATAAGAGATGGGACTTTGGTTAACATGAAACGATGAAAAAGAATGACTTCGTGGTAATGAAACAGTGGCGGTGAAAGTTTTAATTTCATGATTTTTGAGTCCATTAGAGGTTTTCACTGGAGATTTGCTTCTTTGTAAAATGGAGTTTGTACTGCCATTCAAGGACAAACTTAAACTTGAGGTGGTTTTGAATGCCACTGTACTCAGTTTGTCAGTTTCACTTTCTGCTTTTGGATTAAATGTTGTGTCTAAATCTACAGTGCAAAATGTACGGGAACAATCTTCAAAACTCTGATTCTTTTTTACATTGTCTGAAGATAAAGGGAAACAAGCTGTATTTTTGACAAAAAATGTTTCGTCTGCACAAAGAGTTCTAGGAAAAACAGTTTCCTCTGTAACACTTTCTCCAGTTCTTTCACTGTATGAACGATCTTCTGTGATACCAGAACAGTCTATTACCATTCTATTTGAGTTCTGAGATACAGTGGGTTCTATTCTGTAAATACTTTTTTCAGAGCATAGTACCTGACGTTTTGAATTGTAAAAAGGGCTTTTGTCACCATTACTTTCTATAGATAATTTCTTCTTTTCAGCATTTTCGGTAATGAAGCCAGATGTCCATTTTAGTACTCTGGACTTTCGCATTTTCTCTTTGTTGGTATTAAATTTTGCTTTTTTAGAATGACAGTATCTATAGTTATATTGCTTGTTTAATGAATTGGAAAAAGATTTTTGGGGTACTTTATCCAATAGTCTGCTAAGAGTTTTTACCATTCCTGGATACAAATCTGCTATTGTGACATTATTCCATGAACAGTTTTCATCTGCAGATTCATACATTTCTAAAAAGCTACTATGTCCAGTTCCATTATTAAGAAGGGATTGGTTTTTAGGCACAGTTGTCCCATTCACTGAATGTGAAGCAGCAGAAATGGATGGTTCTGGAGATCTCAGCGATACAGGTGACAGCTGCTTCCTCTGGATTGTATCACACCCTATTTAGATCCAATAAAATGAAGGTACAAAAAAGTAGCACTTAGTATTGACTTGTTTACATTATGTAATGAAGATACTTATTTTCTTAAATGTCTATTTGATCTGTTACAATGTCACTCAATAGCTTGACTCATTAAAATAATTCATGGTATACCCTAAATCTTAATTCACTGTAGTGCTAGTTATTATTTATTATACTTGTGTTCTGTGGTAATCAAGCATGGTCCTGTTTCACTGTATAATAAATAAAACTACAAAATATAAAATAACATTGTTATATAATTATAAAACACAACAGTAAAAACGCTTCAAAAATAGCAATTTGAATTATACCTAGGAACCTATCAGCAGCCAATATAGCATCCATAATACTGTACAGATATTATATGGGTGTAATGGCTTTTACTCTCCAGTATGCAAGAAGCTGCACTTTACAAGCATAGCAGTTTCCAAGTAGCCTTCAAAAAGAGTTTCATGAAAAAGCATTTCATAGTCCTCTAGTCTAAAGGTAATAAGCTATAAATTACTGATGCCAAAGCTCATGATTCAATTAGATCTAGCCAGGAATATTCCTATATAATGGTCCTACTCATTCACGGGTAATTCACAATTTAAGGAAGAATCAGACAGCTGAATGCTTTTTATAGAAACAGTAACTCACTCTCCTTAAAGATATGATACCTTCAGAATAATTGTTTCCCATACCTAGCTTATCTCATTCATACACACCCTCAGCCAACTGAAGGAACTAGGTAGGACATGGATCTAAGCCACAAGCACAAAACATAAAATATTACAACAAAATAATAAAACAATAAAAATCAATAATATTCAAAATTAGTGATTTCAGTTATACGCCAAATCCTGCTAGCAGCCCAGGTAGCATCCATTATATAGATACTTGATGGCTGTATCCACAAAGTGGATAGCACTTGGAACATTTTATCAGTACCATAGGCTAATACATGCTGAATGAAAACACAGATCTATATTGTCTTGAATGATGTTGAAATGTAAGAATACTTCATAAACTCATGGTTCTTAAATCAGGCTGTTTTTACTGTTTCTTTTTGCTTTAGATAAGTATATTAATTATGTAACTAATGATATTCAGAAAACAAATGTTAAAAATGATTCTTAATCTCAGAAATAAATTCACTTAAACTGTAATATCTCCAAAGCTATTTTACAAATTAAATAGTCAGAAGAACATATGAAAATGTAGGCTTATATATCTAAACTAATCTCAAATATGGCACAGGATGTCAAATTGTGAAATATAATCATATCATTCTACAGGGAGAATAGAGCAAATTACTTTATGATGGAGGACTAGAAAATATACCTGTGAAATAAAGTAGTATTTAATTGTTTGAAAACATTTAACCCTATTTATCTGTCCACAGAAATTTTCAGTTGCATTGTTAATTACAGATTTATTAATAGGTACCTCTTAGCACAATCATTTTAAATTATCTAGAGGGCTATCGCTATAACGATTGTCTGCAGCTAACAATAATGTTATGTCTTAAAGTAAATTCTAAAGGCCAGTTATTCAAAGACTAATACAGAATAAAATATTTCTGGGACTGCAACCCAGCTGTGTAAAAAAGGTAGGACATGGATACTGATTAAATGCATGCATGAGCATGTGTGCTCTCTCACAGTTTTCCAATCCAATTATACAATCCATTTAAGTGGTGCTCTTTCTAGTAGTATTAAATTACATGTAGGTTCTACCACAGAAGATTCCAAGTTTAATTCATGGCACTGCCATCATAAGAGTTCTAAGCAAAGATTTCGAGCTGAGACCCTGGATGTCTTCACTACGTTCAGTAAAGAAAGATTAAACCGGATGGACTAAAACATTAACTCAATACGACAAAGAATTATAAAGCATTCTTAATGCAAGGCAGAACAACTTTATTTCAGCTACTGCCTGCCTGTTCATTTCCTTCTATTCAGATGGTATAGGCAGATGAGCTGAAAAAAACTGAAATAAGAGAGGGGGGAAAGAGGGTGTATGGCACTTTCTGTAGCAGAAATTTGTATTTACAAAGATAAAATAAATAGGGCACAAAAGAAATACTTTTGCATTCCTTATTGGATCCAGATCATGCAACAATTTGGGTTTTCTTTTCTAAATAAATGTCCTAGAATTGTCATATAACACATGACATCAGCCAGTGCTTTAAAAATAATCTTACCTAGGTAGTATATCTAACAAGCATCATTCCAAGGATTTTTTAATGAGCCAAATTAATACAGTTCTTGGCTAGTCTATTAGAAAAGATAAGCTTTGAAGACAAAGAACATGAAAATCTTTTGAGACATTCGATATTATCCTTTAATTAAAAAAATCCTAAAAATAAGGACAAGTTCCTAAAAAATTTAAAAAGGAAAAAGAAATTTTTTCAGTACTGTAAAGCATCTCGAAGCTGTTGCGAAGCTCACCGATTAAGGATTTGTTTTCCAATTTCCTTCTTTGCCGCAAAGGAGACAACTGACAAATACTTCTTGGTTTTGTAACCTAAACCAAGATATACAAAGAATGTAGTTAATAAAAACATTAAACCAAATGTTGGGATACAGATTATGTTTATTATTGCTGTTGTAGTACAAAATTCACGTTACATGCTTAGACAAAAAGAGCGGACAAGGACAGAAATATGCATACGAAGATTGGGTCTTTTTAATAGCAATAGCACTTACATTTATATACCGCTTCATAATGCTTTGCAGCCTTCTCTAAGTGGTTTACAGTATCGGCATATTGCCCCCACAACCTGGGACCTCATTTTACCAACCTCAAAAGGATGGAAGGCTAAATCAACCTTGAGCTGGTCAGAATTGAACTCCTGGCATTGAGCAGTGAGTTAGCTTGCAATACTGCATTCTGATCACTGTGCCACTACAGATCTTACAGAAAATATATAAAAGTTTAATAGTTATGTTGAAATTCTATGGACAGAAATCAGACCATGGATAGAAAAATATGGACTATACAGTTATAACAGGAAAGAAATTTAAGTAGAATGAATTAAAAGCTGTATTACCATAAACATTGCTGGAGCAGAATTGGCATAATCTTTCAACATAATGTCCATTTCTACTTTGCATTTATTTTTCACAGGTGTTCGAGAAGTGCATTCAAGTGGGATGTTATCCTTTTAATAAAAATAAGACATAAGAGCAAAATGAAATCGTGCTTTTTATATGAACAAGGTAGTTGGACATGTACCAATTATATATAATTATAATATATATTATAATAACCAATTTTCACCTGGATTCAACAGGATTCATTGTGATACCAAGATTAATGTCAGAAAACTATATAAATGTTTCAGTTTAGGATTATTAACCATTGTTTCATATATTTTTTCCTATGGCAGTATACTACAGAAGAGCAGGGTACTACTTGTTAGATAATAATGATTAAGATTATATGTCATGCAAATAAAACAAATAAAATGTTAAAAAGTTATATTTAGTTACTTAACAAGCACTTCTAAATTATATTAAAGTAACCACATTTGTTTTACAGTCCCCAAGGAATGTCACAACTTTTGGGTACCTCTAATGTTTGGAAATCGAAAATTGAAAAATAATTCATGTGTAAAAAATTACCCAGTAAGGACCTCTAAAAAGGAACCACAAAAATATTAAAACATAATGCATATATACTTTTTGTCATACATTTTCTGTGTTATATAATTTTTTAATTACTATATTTAGGATTATATCTTCAATATGGTGTCTGTGGGCAATAACATACCCAGCTGATCTGCCCTGTCTCCTTGATGGTCATCAAGTTTCCTGTCTGATCTTTTTTTAAATATATATTTTTATTGTTTACAACTATAAATACAAAATACAGCGCAGCCATTTTGGCATTACTTTGCCATACATACCAAAGGTGTATTAAAACCCATTAACATTTCTATTATTGGTACAATATTTACATTTTTCTTCCAATCCTCCTAGCTGTTTTTGTTCCGCCCTTTTTTTGCAACCACAGATAAAAACCTGTTCCAAGTATCGTAATATTCTGAATCCCCCTTATTTTTCATTTCTCAAGTTAGTCTATCAGATTCTGCACATGCCTGTTTCATCTTACTGCTTATATTGAACATGCAAAATACTTTAATAAAAAGAAAATTGTCATTCTGCAAATCAAAATAGTTTTCATCACAATCTTCATTTGAACTGGTCCACATAAGTTGACTTGGAAAGTAGCCAGAAACTAATGTTTAGTATCGTATGTTTGCATAAAGGAAATAGGCAAGAAGTAAATCCCTTTGAATGACCCTGTAATTCCTTAATTCGGGGTAGAGTCATTAAGTAGTATCTCATGGTAAAGGGACAGAATGGGTTGTATTCTAGAACAGGGGGTCTCCAACCTTGGCAACTTTAAGACTTGTGAACTTCAACTTGAAGTCTACAAGTCTTAAAATTGCCAAGGTTGGAGACCCCTGTTTCTAGAAAATCGTTGATTTGTGATTATATTTTTAACAGTAACAATTTTGTTAATGGAAAGTTCCCCCGACTTGTCCATGGTGATTTTGAAGCAGCTTCCATGACAAAATATCCAATTCCAAACGGGCACACCAGTTAGAATAGAATGCACAATTGTCTGTGTAGATAAAATGCCATAAATATTTGCTGACTATACTGAAAGATTTTGACAGGGGTGGGTTTGGTTTTTTTTTGCAAGTTAGGAAAGTATGAGTTCAGATGATATGATATCCCTTATCATACAACTGATATCTCTTTAATGAATGTCTCGCTTAGTGACCGTTCAGTTACAATGGATTAAAAAGTAATTTACAACCATTTTTCACATTTATGACCTTTGAAGGTTTGTGCAACAAAGGAAAAATTGAAGTAGGATTGTAAGCAAGTTGGTTTCATTTAGCAATTGCTATGCTTAATGACTAAGTTGCCACTCCCAATTGTGATTTCTAAATGAGGATTACCTATATGTCAATGTATTAAGATACTTAAAACAAATATCCTAATGTTGTGAACAAAATTTTATTTTTGTGTATATTATTACCTTGATATGTATATTGGCCAACTGACATTTAATAGACGCCAACTCAGCCTTTCCTTTGCTATCTGCAATTCAAAATTAAATAAAAATTATTTTTGTCAGCATAACAAATCCCAAGGTTTTAATTTTTCATATAGGATTTTTTTCACTTTCTGAAAAACACACACACATATCTTTCTTTGGGCAAATAAAGGAAAGATTTACTCTTCTTTTGGTAGCTATTAAAAAACAAACATTACATTGTTGCCAATATAAAAATTGTATATCCAAAAATGTATATCCATGGTAAATGTGATTACCATGGCCTTTAAAAGCATTTCATTGACAAGTAATTGTACAGCTAGAATAAGATAGATTTCACTTAAATTGCCTGGTTGTACATTCTTTTAGAAATGTATGTGGGGGCCATGAATAAATGTCATACAGAAAGCTTCCAAATCAAGGTTTAAAAAAATAATGACACAAATACAGTAATCTTACTTGTTTGAATAATGGATAATGAATTAGCAACATGTTAATGATTTAAAAAGGTAAAAGGAGCTATAATTATATATTCGTGTGGTATGATTTTTAATTATAGACTTAATACACTTCAGTCAGATACTAGTTACAACCTGAGCATTCATTTGTACAAAAAGATACCCAAAATGTTGCTAGAAACAAAAAATAAAAATTGCACTTTGGGTTAAAATTCTCTAATTCATTAACTCACAGGATGAGGTTTATGATACACTGATATTGTTAAATACAAATACAGTATGACATATAGGAATTGTCTTTGCAGATCAAGTATCAGTTAAATGCATTTTAAAATAAATTTAACCCATAGTAAAATGTGTGTCGATAAACTGAAAGTAATTTTCAGGGTTACATGTTTTGTGCTTACCTGGACTGTGTTGGCTGTCTTCATATAGGTCTATGAAGTGATGTTCCTCAAATGTCTATTAAAAAACCCCAAATTACAAACATTGAATTAACTTCAATTACTGTACAAAATCAATTTTACTACTGAGTGACAAAGAAGTTAGTAAAGACTGATTATTACAAAAAAAAAAAAAGTTTCTCAGAATGTATGTACATATACACACAACGATATTCTGTTATGCGCTACCGTACAAACTTCGGAGCATCTTTTGCTCCAAAATGCTTCTATACTAATTTCTTTTTATATTTTCCAAACTTGCAGAATAACTACTGTTTCTGTTGCTATCAATCACTATGCATTTGTAATGTTGATGTCAATTTTATGATGGGATGGGGGAGAGGGGAAATCAAACAAAACTATAATTTGTTAACTTTATATTTATTTATCAAATTTATTTGCCACCCATCTTATGGTTCAGGCAACTTTGAGTGGCTGAGATTTAATTTCCACTTTTATATAGGACAATGCCACAATGAGAAACGCAGATAAAATGATCTTGTTTTTCAGGCTTTAAATATAAATATATTGAAGTTTACATTAATAGCCTTGGGCAGATCCTTCAGTAAGATACTTACAAATTAAATGCCTCTATGGTTTATTCAAGAGGATTCTGAAGTTTCCTCATTGTTGTTTTGGCTATCAGACACCCAGTAATATTACTTATGTTATTTCATTTTGCAATTTATCATGTTTTAAGGGTACTTGGGAGTAAGAGCCAATGTGGTAACAGTTAAGAATTAAAGCTACGGAATGCATATCACAATGAGATGACAAATTTTTCAAATGGCTTCTCATATAAGCTATGTTGACTTTATATTTTCATATATTTCGATAAATCACTGATAAGCATTACTCTCAGATATATTTTATATATTATTCTTTATTCAAAATTAGAAAGAAATAGGTTTGACCAATCATTGATACGGTTAAAAATATAAGATCATCCTGTAACCTAGTGTATTATATTGGGTATCAAAATCACAATAAAACTAAAATTATTAGTGTGAAGAAAGGGGCAGGGGAGGAAATCAGCAAATAAGTATTTAATTTAAAAAAAAATGGTGCATGAGAGTAGAACTGAAGAATGGGAAAATGTATATACTTGAAGAAAAGTTTCATATTATTCTTCCTAAGCTACTGGCATATCATACTTGCTCATCTGTAGAGTCTTCTTCAAAATCAGAATTCTGCTTTTGCACTTAATTAAAAAGAAAAAAAATTAGTTAGATATGCACATCTGAAAATAAAATTTCATCTTCAATGGCATTTAAAGCCAATTCATGCACACAAACCAGACACTTATTTTATTGATCAACATATTTCTTATATTTAGAAGTAAGTTTAAAACAATCACCCAAGCATCTTGTACAAATGTTTTGTATAACGGTATGCCTGTATGGTTTTAATGGGAGATTGGTTGATATTACTGCATTATATTATTACACCTGGGCAAAGAGTCATGTATTAAAGATTGGGCGGTATATACATCTATTTTTAAAAGATTAAATAAATACTTTCCATTTAACCTGATTCAGCAGTTGAACTAAATTCAAAAGCAATTTGATTTTTATTTACCAATATAACCAAAAGCTGCCAGCATTTTAATATATCTTTTTATTATTAAGCATAAAACATATTAACTTCTGCACATACTTGTATAAATTCATTGGTCTATTTCTTTGTTTTCTCTTTTCATCACAATTTTTCTCTGCATTTGCTAACCAATTATTATCCAAATCTTGAAGTTTTCTTTTATGTATTACAATTAAAGGCTAAAAGAAAGAGATATGAAATTTCAAAACCTTTTTCTTACCTAGTTTTTCTTGGCATTCTATTGTGTTCTGTGGTTTTAAACAAAGACTTTAGTTAATGAATTCCTTTATAATGGTAATAAAAGGACAATTATTTACTTGAAAACTTTGTTGTTCAATAACAAATATTACCAACATCCATGTTACCAGAGAAGGGAGAGAATCTAGGCCAGTGGTGGTTAACCTTTTTGGGCTCCTGTGCCAAAAATTGCGAGCGCGCCAGCATGCCCATACTTACATGCCAGCACCCAGAATGCAATGTGCACGCTTTCTCCCCCTGCGCATGCCCGCGCAATCCATACCTCACAGCTGATTTTTTGGCTGGTTTGGGGCCTTTTTCGGCCTCCCAGAGGCTTGGAAAAAGCCTCTGCAAGGCTTCTCAGGACGAATTATAGGCTCTTTAGTTACCTCCGGTATTACAGGAAATTAAAAAATGGGCCTATAATTCGGCCTGAGAAGCCTTGCAGAGGCTTTTTCCAAGCCTCTGGGATGCCGTAAAAGGCCTCAAACCAACCAAAACAAAATCAACTGTGAGGTGCGGGCATGCACAGTGAGATAAGTTTGCCTGTGGCTTGCGTGTCAGCACAAATGGCTCTGCGTGCCACAGGTCTGCCATCACGGATCTAGGCAAATGTTTATCTACAGTCTTGAAACTACTATTAAACAAACTTCAGAATTATACTGTACCAAAGAAATTTCTTTTGCTATAACCTGCTTGCAGTGGTAATGAATATCTTAAAAAGAAATTCATAGAAAGTTTGATTAAGTAGATCTCAAGCCTACCTTCTATTGCTTCTGAAACATCAATTTGGTGAAATGGGAACATTACAATATATTTATTGGTGCAATATAACATAATGCAATGTTATCCACTTATATGTATGGAGGATTCTGTGTTTGTTAGTATGATTTACTGGGTTAGGGATTTTCTTTCTTTCACTGTGCTTTATTGAGATGTATTTATATGGGGGGGGGGTGCACTAAGTGAGGCTCAGCCAATCTCATTGTACACATGTTGTGCATTGACAATAAAGGTTTGAATTGAATTAAATTGAGAATAAAAGTTTGTGTCCAAAACAAAATTGGAAATTCTGTTTTAACTATAAATTCCAATTTGACTTGGACAGCAAACTGGCATTTGTAGGATTTTTTTTTCTTTCCTCCTCTGTCAATTAAAGTTCAAACACGTTTTACGATTCTATTATTTAAATAACGAGACTTGATTATCTGAAATTTTACAAATTGTTCAACCTACTGGCTTTGCATACCTTATAGAAACTCAAAATATCTCTCTGGACTAGGAAACTCTACCAATAAAAACATAGGAGCAATAGCCAATGAACAGGAGGACCCCAGACTTAGAAGACATTCAGTGATCTATTGATTAATAAATATTTGGTCTTGATTGTAACTCCCAGTAAACTACATGTTTGGGAAATTACTTATCCTATAATTCCACTGATATAAACAGACCTTAATTAATCCATATTAGTCTGAGTCATCTACTAATGCTCAAATATAGAAGAAAACTATTAGGAGAAAGAACTGTATTCAGAACAATATTCAGTAACAAGATCATCTGCCATTCTTACTTAGAAAAAGTAACACATTTTAAAAACTTGACAACAATATTTGAATTTCATCATTCAAATTACAAAAACAAAAATGCTATAAAATAAATACAATTTATCTCCAGAAGTTGTAGCTACTCCAACACTGGAAGTGTTTAAGAAAAGATTGGACAACCGATCTGAATTTGTCTGAAATGGTGTAGGAGGGTTTGCTGCCAAAGCAGGGGGTTGGACTAGAAGACCTATAAGGTCCCATCTAACTCTGTTATCTCAAATGAAAAGCCTGATCTATGCAATGATTATTTAATAAAGATTGAATTACAATAACTTAAATTTGATATTTTATTATCTGTAACCATCAAATGAAATATATTTATTTTCTGTATACTAAAAAAAAACATTGCTGATGCTTTACAACTTCAGAATCAAAATAATAATAGTCAATACCTAAAACTGATGAATAATAAAACTATCAACTCGCTTTGGTAGAAGGAAGAGTTAAGAGTTAAGGAAGAATTAGTATTGATTAAAAGCTTTACAAATTAGCTCCATCTTGACTTAACTTCTGAATCACAACAAACACCATCCACATCCAACCACATGTTTTTAGATTTTAAACATGGACCCAACAACTTAGAAAATAAATTTAATATTAGTAATAACAAGGTTAAGAATGAAAGGCATACATTTTAATACCTCATAAGACACATCTAAAATTTCATCATTTGACTCTTCTCCCCAAACTCTTGGCCCTATAAATTGCAAAAGAATATATACATTAGTTGGAATACGTATTTCCGATTAAGATCTTATATAAATTTCAGTTAGGACAAAGTCATAAATTAGAGACCTCAACTGGGCTAGGGGCTATCTTCCTCCAATTAAGGAATAAGGAATGACCATTCCAGACTATAATAGTAGGCAAGAAGAAAGAGCTTTATAATAATAAGATCAATGAGCAAAATATATTTTCCATTCACTTTTTGTATGCTATGTCCAATAATGGAAACCTTAGTTCTATGTTGCTTGTCTTCTTGATTATTATCCATTCATTGGTTCTTGTTTTCCTTTTGGTACTTTGGAAAATATCCCTTCCCTCCATCTTTGTGACAGCCCCTCAAACACTGGGACCTTCCCTAAACTTTTTTTTTTTTACTAAACATACCCAATTCCTGCAACCATTATTCATGTTTTAGCTTCCAGCCCCCTAATCTTCTTTGTTGTTCTTCCCTACACTCTTTCCCTTCCTTCTCTGCTCCCCTGCTCTACTCTGCTGTAAATTGGCATTGTATCTGAGATGACAATAGGTTAAGAACAATCTCATTGAAATTTAATTCCCTGCAGATAAACTTTATGTCATCGAGAAGTACGAGACTGGATCCCAGCTTCCTGTGTTCAGATTTAAAGTAGTAAAGTTATGAACATTTTCTATTACCATCTGAACTTGATCCAACATTACCCATGACCCTAGATTACTTCTCCATGTATATTTAACTCTAGCTGTCGTTTACCGTATTTCCCCATGTATAAGCCACCCCTTTTTTCCAAAATTTTCAAGCCCAAAAAGTAGGGGGGTGGCATATACAAAGCAGGTACACTTTTTATACGTGAAAAATGCATAAAATAATAAAGTAGGAATAAACTGGTTTTCCAGCAGTATGCTATACTTTTTTGTAAAAATTGTACGTGATGATACGATTACGAGTGCGAGTACGCGATAGAAATGCATACGCTAGGCATCGGCCTGAATGCTTCGTTCCTACTCTCGTTCCGATGCGAAGATTGCTAGCGTCGCCCGCACCACTTTCGGCATCATGACCGAAGTTGTAGATCTAGACGTCGAATTTTGTTTCTTTGTAAATTTTCTTTCTTCATAACTTGTTTCTCTAATAAAATATTTTTTTCAAAACTTCACAGTCCAAAAATTGGGGGGGTGGCTTATACAAAGGGGGTGCTTATACATGGGGAAATACGGTATTTAAATATTTCAAATTAAAAAAAACCTAAAAAAAGCATCAAAATCCATAATTTTTTAAAATGAAATTTAGCTTGATTGCCTGAGTTGAACTCGGGTGACATGCTACTGCATTTTGGACCAGTTTTCAATCATGTTCTGTAATATGAGATATATTAAGTGCATGTATGTGGGTTCATCCTGTTCTAAAAACCATAGCTGGTGTATCAGTCAGAGCTATGCAGAAGCCCTCCTGGGTGTGGTATTCACCTGCTCTTCAAGCAAGAGCTCCAAGACCAGGAGGACTACCAGATGTGAATCTGTGCATTCCATCTGTGCATACAACCTCTTCAAGGACTAAATATGGTAATAAACAGCCATTTTCTCATGTTTGGGTTAAGTATGACCCCCCAAATTCTTATACTCTCCAAATATCGATACTATCCAGACACCCATATTTTCCAATGGGCCTGGGGTGGAGATGTATATCTGAGTATCAGTATCGTCAGCATACTGATATTTCAACCAAGGTGACAGATGACTTCTCCCAGTGCCTTCAGGTATGTGTTGGAACAGAATAGCCAAAAAATATTAAATGATGAGGCTGTTTATAACCAAGTGCCCAGTTTCCTGAATACCTTCGGTATATGCTCAGTGAGCAAGTATTGGAACCACCGACCATTGTGCCTTTATCTATCAACCCTTGCATTGTAGTTGACAGTATGCAATGCCACTAAAATATCTAGGATAACTGCAACACCTTTGTCTAGTTTAGTGTAGCAATCTATTGTATGTTTGCATAAACTCCGCAATTTAAGCACTTCTTAATGTAGGATTATATTTAATTTTCTATTCATGTTAATATATTTGATTTTCTGATTGTCCTGTTTCAGCATGTACATGAAGACAATTTCTTACCTAGATACTTTTATATAATAGAAGCAGCTCTATTCTTAGTAATTTTAAGATGTATATATACATTCTCATGTAACACATCCACATACAGAGACAGACATGTCTTGTTGGATTACAAAGCTAATGAATAATATTATTAGTTATCATTTTTCATTTTATTCTAAAATAAGATTAAATGTATTTCTGTATTTGTAGTTATAAGATGAAATATAAGTATAGTAATAAAATAAGGTAAAAATAATCTTACCATCCTGTGTCTGATAAATCAATGATTTGATAGAGACAACTATATCCTCTTCAAAGGCAAAGTTGTACTAAATTAAGAAAATACCACATCAGTTTAGCATGTTTTCTAACTATTAAGCAGTTCTATTCGATAAAATAGACATTTTTCAAAACAGGTAGCCTAATAGGATTAGAATTTCTACTGAAGATGGATTTTAACCAAAGAAAATATATACCCGATTTAAAAACCTTGTTACTTATATTCACGTGATGTGGATCACATGAAGACTTTCATATGATCACGGCTTCTGTCACCATCTGGGAATCAAGTGTGTGTGTGTGTGTGTGTGTGTGTGTGTGTGTGTGTGTGTGTTCGTTCGTGTTCCAAAGACCGTCACCTTAGTTTGCATTATGTGCAGTCTAACTATACAAACCCAATATTATGTTTTGCGGCTAAACAATAATCTATATTCAGGAATTCCTGAATTTGATGAAGCAATTATACCAAGGAACTGAGCATGGCTGTAATTTTCACAAACCGCAGTAAAAGCACATCCACTTCTGCTCAGTTTTGGCTCAGTGGCCTCAAATATTTAGACAGACTTTTAAATCGGAATGTCCTCCATTCTCCTTCAGGCAGGAAAAACTATGTACTAACGTTGAAGCACAACCGCTGCTGCTGCTGCCGCCACTACTACTAATTCAACGGAGGGAGGGAGGAAGACATCAATGTTACATGTCGTCAAGAAATCAGTTCGGAAAAAAGACCCTCAGGCTAGCCATCGCCAAGGCCTTGGACCCTAACAGGACACCTCCAACCTTTCCATGCAGTTCCGATCCTCTACATCAAAGCCGTTTCCTCCACGCTCAATCCTCATTGCGCTTACCTTGTTCACAATGCTGCTCATGGCAGAAGCGAAGCGGTAGCGGCTATGCCGGAAACTCCAATCCATGCTGCTTTTCGTTGCTTCTTCTACTTCGAGGGTATATAATAAAGATACTCCCCCCCTTCACTGCCACATTCTATCCATGTGAATTGCCCTTAATTAATGCGCAAGACCACCACCACCATTAAGAGTGGGGATTGGTTTCTCTCGATATACCAAGGCCGAGACTTGAAACTGACAAACAAAAACCCGCCCACTCCCAATTCAAATATAGCGCCAATTCCAATCCCCGCAAAGACTTTTCCGATTCTTGACTCCGGTAGGCGGTCGCTCGCGTCGCTCTCTGCAGGCCGCCCAATCAGAAGGATAGAAAGTCAGTCTGATTACAATCTTTCTATTTGAACGTTCGGATGTTCATTTCTACCTTCCATCTACTCTCGTGGGCGGAGACGGGAATGAAAAGAGAACGCTTGAAAAGCGCCTTGTTTTTTCTTAGGCAGGAATTCTGTTCTAAGAGTTTCATTTTGACGACTCTAAAGTGATGCCGAAAGACAAGCATATGTTTTTGCCGGAGGTGGGTTGTGATTTTTCTTAGGTCCGCGTGCATTATATCAGAAGGATTAGAAATAATGAGATTAGTGTGTTAAGAATAACTGTCTATGGAGATTCTCAGTCATTGATGGTTGCCCCAAAGGTGCTTTCTCAGGAGGAAACTGAACTTTCTGCTAACCAGAAAGTCCACAGTAGCTTCATGAAAAAAACATCTTTGGCATAAGAATAACAGAATTGGCCCTGTTAAATATTGATTATAAAATATTTACTACGATTACAGCAAATAGATTGAAAAAAATATTGAATGAATATATACATAAAGATCAAAAGGGATTTCTTCCTAATAGGCAATTCAGGAATAATTTAAGGATAGTATTAAATGTTTTAGAATACTACGAAGCTTACCCGGAAAAACAAACGGCCCTTGTATTCTTGGATGCACAGAAGGCTTTTGACAATTTAAATTGGCAATTCCTAATTTAACAAATTTACAATATGAATCTAGGCACTAAGTTTGAAAATATCGTGACTACAATTTATGATTCACAAAACGCGAATATTATAATTAATGGAGTGTACACGTGCTCAATGAAAATAGAGAAAGGAGTCAGGCAGGGATGTCCCTTATCCCCCCTGCTCTTCATATTATCTTTGGAAACATTGTTTACACGAATTAGACAGAACCCAGGAATAAAAGGACTAAAAATTTAAAAAGAAGAATATAAACTCCAGTCGTTTGCAGATGATGTGGTATTTTTCATAGAGGAACCAATTGAAACAGGTCAAGAATTACTGAAAGAGTTAGATCAATTTGGGGAAGTTGCAGGACTTAAAATTAATAGGGAAAAAACAAAATTAATAACTAAAAATTTAACAGAAAAACAAAAACTAAAATTGGACAGGATTATGGGATTACAAATAGTAAAAAAAGTTAAATACCTAGGAATTTGGTTGATGGCTCAATGCAAAACTCTAATGGAAAATAATTATAATAAATTATTACAGCAAGTTAAAAAAAGATTTAGAGATGTGGGTTAAATTGCAAATCTCCTTATTAGGGAGGATTGCCACTATAAAAATGAATATTCTGCCCAAATTTATTTACTTATTCCAAACAATACCAATAAAAATACATAAAAATTACTTCGTGGAACTTAACAAGATAATCACCAAATTTATCTGGCAAGAGAAAAAACCGAGGATAAACCTAAAGGCAATGCAAGATATGAAGAGCAGGGGAGGTATGGCATTCCCAAATTGGGAATTATACTATAGTGCAGCCTCCTTCCTCTGGTTGAAAGAGTGGGTAAATCTGTTGAATAAAAGGATCTTATTTTTAGAAGGCCATGATTTACAGAAGGGATGGCATGCATTTTTATGGGACATTGGGAAAATTAAGCCGAAGTATTTCCACAGACATATAATTAGAGATTCCTTATTGGCTAATTGGAACAACAACAAAAAAACATTATTTAAAAATCCCAATTTGGATCTCAACGATGGAGGCGATGATACATCCAAATAATCTAGATCTTAATAAAATGATAAAATACAAAGACCTTCTTGACGTTCAAGGAACTTTAAAATCATGGCAAGATCTCCAAGAACAGGGACTACAAGTAGACCGGTGGGCTTACTTGCAAATTCAAAATAGATATAGCCTGGACAAGAAAATTTTTGGAATTTATACTAAGGCACAACAAATAGATAAAATTTTATTAGGTCCACATAAAAAAAATAATAACTAAATTTTATAATTATTTACTAGAGACGGAATTAGAAGAGGAAGTAGTCAAAGGCAATATGATAGCTTGGAGCAGAAACATAGGACGTAGCATTACATTATTAGAATGGGAAAAGGTTTGGACAAGGAATAATAAAATTACAAGATCAGCAACATATAAAGAAAATGCCTATAAAATGTTTTATAGATGGCATCTCTCACCCTTGAGAATAGCGAAAATGTCTCCTAACATGAATCCAAATTGCTGGAAATATAAAAAGAAACAGGGAACATTGTTTCAGATGTGGTGGTCCTGCACTGAAGCCCAAAGATACTGGCATAGAATAAAAAAATGGTTAGAGGAAATAACGGCGGAGCAAATTGAATTAAAACCAGAATTCTTCCTATTGGGGATATTTAATAGACAAATTCCTAAAAATGTCAAATATATAATACTGCATATTCTTACTGCAGCCAGAATAACCTTTGTACAGTGTTGGAAACAAGCAGATATTCCAACAGAGGAGATGGTTATACAGAAGATAACAGCCTGTGCAGAGATGGAGAAGTTAACCTTAGCACTTAAGGAAAAAGAAACATCAGAATATTATAGAAGCTGGGAATGCTGGTATGACTGGATAGAACAAAAATAGAAAATATATTAGTAAATAACGTAAAATGTAAATCATAATTATATATTCGCAATAAGATGTATTTGTAAATGTATCACCAATATTGATAACAAACAAGGAACCATAGACTGTCGATAGTAGAATTGTTAGTTTTTTAATCATTTCTTTTTTTTCTATTTCTTTTTTCTTCTTCTGTGTGTTGTGTTTGTTTGATATTTTGGTTTTGTAATCAATAAAGTTTTTTTAAAAAAAAGAATAACAGAATTGGAAGGGATTTTGTAGGTCATCTAGTCCAACCCCTTGCTCAAGCAGGAGGACCTATACCATAATAGGCAGCTTCATAGTCCTGCAAGTTTACTTTGGGCGTACATAAAATAAAGTGATGTGGATGGCACTTTAAGGATTAAGTTCTTTCCATCTCCTGTCTTCTCCCAGCCTCTCCCCCAGAAACAGCTAATTTGGGATTTGATTCTGTTTTCAGGTAAAAAGAAATGAAAAACAATAAAAACTTCCAACTAGGATTAATCTTCATTTTAGAAGTATCTTGGTGAACCAGTGTACTTGTACAATAGAGAAAAAAACTCCACCAGAAGCAATTTTATATGAAAAGACTCTAATATTTTAGAGGCTACTATATTGTATTTCTAAGAATTACAAGAGTTGGTCAAAATTATTCTCTGCATGAAAATAAGTGCATTGTGTATGCAGTGTGATAAAACCACGACAAAAAGAAATAAGAATTTGCTACACTAATATCAAAATTTTATAGTTCTGTGTAAACTATGTGGTGTGAGAGATTAAAGATGATCATGACTAGCTGTCCTAAAGTTTTAACATGATGTGTAAACTAATAACATCTAATAACTTCTAAATATATTCTAAATTATCATTTAAAAAAAAATATGGTCAGCTTTACGGTTTTCAAATGCTAAAAACAAAATATACATTTAAATGATATAGTCTAGTTCTTTGAAAAGATAACGCTGATCATTTTATGCCTATTTTGTATTAGTATGTAAAATTTGTTTCAGAAACTTTGACATAGTTCATCAATTTGATAGAATGTTTGATTTGGTAGTACTGTTTTTAAAAGCAAGTAACAACCAATTTTAAAATAAAAGTAAACTAAACAGTTCAATGCATGAGTGAACATTTTGTTATTCAGACAAAGTGAAAAAACTGGCTGATTGTTGTTTGGACAGAATACAGACCCACACATATACAGAAATACGCACATATATGTATGTAGTTTATCAAAATTTTATACCCATCTCACCTGTAACCTTTGGAAATAGCTACATTGGATGAGTTGTACTGTCACTTAAGACTGTTTAATTTTTTTTTCTTGAAGTCATTGTAGGAAGTTAGCATCCACCCCTTTCCTAGAAAAATGAAATATCCTGGGAAATATTAAAAAGGTAGAATATTTCCTCTAAAAAGAGTAGCAACTCAGAAGCAGAAACTCACCTCAGAAGTAGAAGCTCACCCCAACCTTTGTTAATGGGTGGGCCATTAAGGCCTGGGCCAGAATACTTTACATAACAAAAATCTCCAAAAGGCCTTTTCAGTGTATCATCATCCAGCAAGGCTCAACCAAGCCTGGAACTCAGGACAGCCTACAGATTTGCCCCTGCATGGCCTCATGAGAGTCTGACAACCAATCAGAATACAAGCTCCATTTCAAATCCCAACAAAGGTTATAAAACCCAGGCACTCTCAGCACCTCAGCTTTTTCTTGATCTCTTCCTTCACCTTGAAGCATGTGATCATCCTTTTCACTCTGGAGCTCCAGACCATGTGGTCCTGTCCACCATTAAACCTTCCAATCAGCCTCCATGTTTCCAGTGTCTTTTTCCCCACTTGGAACTGAACCCAGAAGGATTTTTCTTCCAACACCAGGAATGGTGCCCTATATTATATTTCCTTTCCCTTTGATCCCAGAGATGACAAAGAAACAAATGATAATTTTGCCATGTGTTTATTGCAGCAGTTCTAAGCTGCTCTTAAAACATCACTTCATTTACAATATTAAGATATGGTAGAAGAATAAAGATAGTATGATGGAAAATAATAATAAACTAAAGCTACAAACTCTTCTTCAAGCTCTCCCTCCCCTTTCTACTTTGCCTCTCCTTTCTAACCCTGAAAAAAAATATTCCTCTGAATAGTAAAATGAGGAAATAAAGGAGGAGGTGGAATGTGTATGTGTCTGGAGCACAAACACCAGTATCTT